TGAGTCAGAAGCGCCAGACTGTCCTTGCAAAGTTGGAACTGCCCCATATCCAAGAAACGGCCTTTGTGCCACAGACGCATTGTAGGCTACTCTGCAGGTTCAGGAAACAGTCCTCCATAAAATGCGCTGCACACATCTGAATATTTGGGTTGAACTGTTCTGGAACAGTGTTGTAAATACAACTTAACCACTGATTTCTAGTGTTGTCCTCTTTTGAAAGGCCAAACAGTAGTTTTGCTTTCACAACGAAACGCACAGCGTCACACACGGTGTGTTAAGAGTGAGCGGAGGCTGGTGCGGCTGGCGGGCTTGCGACAACCACATGTGACGACCCCGGTCTGGACTCCGCTTCGTCCACGGTAAAAGCCGATCCGGCGATCCACGGCGCGAAGTTGATGTATTTTCTCAGCGATCAGCACGGATAAGCTCCAGGCATGACGAAGCGGATATCCTCTTTTGGAAGACCAAACAAAGTAGTTTTGCTTTCACAACGAAACACAGCATCTCCACGACTTGGCGGCAACAACAATACTACAGCGAGAATAAAAGTTACGCCGCCTTTCTTTGCTTGAACATTTGGGCGGCGTTATGCAAATCTTCACACACAGTGACGTAGACATATGGGGGCGTCTTTAAACGAGGCATTTTAGGAGGGCGTGGACCATTCTTAAGTTTTATGAAGAATATCTCTTTGGGTTTGAGACTTTAGTGTTTGCAACTTTAGGGATCTTATCTATGCACGAACAGCTTGTAACACTCCAAAGAGAAAGGATAACTTGAAATTGCATCATATGACCCCTTTAAGCCTTTTTTTCCTACCCAAAAGTTTTCAGTTGTGATTATAGAATTATACTGGAACTATAAAAGTAAACCAGAGCATCAGCAATTTAATATTTAAACATGAATCACAACCAATATGTATTAAAATGTCTGAATTATTGTAATTAAAGCTTAGAATTTAATTTTGTGCACTATAATGACCATTGATTTGTGGAATGATTTCATTTTTCAGATCTTACGTTCAGTAGGTTTTTATGATTTTTTGGTACAGCGCACTGAGTGCAGGGCAGCGTTTTTTGATTTATTGTTAGGGGAGAACTTAAATTTATTATTATTTTTTTAAATCTCAAACTGAAACATGCTAAATGAAATGCAGTATTAAGTTAATGAAAACCAAACGTTAAAGTTGCTAAATGTTAAATTTGATCAGACCCTGTATGAACACCGTTGTAATAGGGTACAATAAATATATGTTATAGGTTAGGCTTAACGCACTGTTTTCTATAGGGTTTATCGGGGAGTCTGTGCAGCTCTCTTTCCACCACGGGATTCTAAGCCTGACAAAGGTTGAAGACTCCTGAATTACCTATCAAATTAATTCACTGTTCCTATTACAAAGTTTTGTATTGTTGGACATTATTTGCATTTTCTTAAATATATTAATAACAGGCCAGGAATGAATGAATATTCTGTTTTAAAGCAATATTCCCAGGGCATACAGGGACATTATGAAGTGTTGCTTCTTTCTGCAGTATACTGAGGTAGCTGCGTTACTGAGGCATCATGTCTAACACATTATTTATTAGGACAAATACTTGATAATTTTTTCTGAAGGTTGAATATCTATTGACCAGTATTCCCTCAAGGAAATGTATGATGCTGATGTAATTTCTGCATTTGGATGCAAAGCTTGCTATAATACCTTACTATTAGCATGATCTGACACACTTTACCACATACTCACCATTTTAAATTGTGGCTAACTCAAATAATTTATATAGTTTTACATCACAAATGGTGCAGTTTCCTAGATTAAGATGATAGTTTACTCCACTGCCCCCTATAGGTTCAACTTTTACCCAGAGATGGGCACAAATACATCAAAAAGTATTTTGTTACAAATTACAAATACTTGCTCATAAAAAATACTGGTGTGAGAATTGTATTTAATTAAAGGGGTCATATGATGCTATTTTAAAGATCATTATTTGGTGTATTTGGTGTAACAGAATATGTTGACATGCTTTAATGTTCAAAAAACATTATTTTTCAAATACTGGTAATTTGAAAATACAAACAATATTTTCAAGCAATCATTTGAAGTGCAAGAGACAGTGCCATTTAGTATTGCTGGAGTTACACTGAACAAAATTATAAACGCAACACATTTGTTTTTGCCCCCATTTTTCATGAGCTGAACTCAAAGATCTAAGACTTTTTCTATGTACACAAAAGGCCTATTTCTCTCAAATATTGTTCACAAATCTGTCTAAATCTGTGTTAGTGAGCACTTCTCTGAAACGCCTTTGGAGACTGCTTATGGTAGAGAAATGAACATTCAATTCATGGGCAACAGCTCTGGTGGACATTCCTGCAGTCAGCATGCCAATTGCACGCTCCCTCAAAACTTGCGACATCTGTGGCATTGTGCTGTGTGATAAAACTGCACATTTTAGAGTGGCCTTTTATTGTGGCCAGCCAAAGGCACACCTGTGCAATAATCATGCTGTCTAATCAGCATCTTGATATGCCACACCTGTGAGGTGGATGGATTATCTCGGCAAAGGAGAAGTGCTCACTAACACAGATTTAGACAGATTTGTGAACAATATTTGAGAGAAATAGGCCTTTTGTGTACATAGAAAAAGTCTTAGATCTTTGAGTTCAGCTCATGAAAAATGGGGGCAAAAACAAAAGTGTTGCGTTTATAATTTTGTTCAGTATAGATACACACATAAGACAAAGAGAAGTGCTTTCCCCTCCTTGGACAACTAATAAACAACATGTTTTTTTTTTTACCCTAAGACTATATATACTATATATTGATTCATATTTCTTCTCATTTCTTATGTTCACTATGACACAACTGACTGTGTTTACTTAACACATTACAATTGTGCAGTTAATTCTCATATTGCATTTTCAGAAAGTTTTGGAATATTTTTCCACTCCCCAAATTTGTCACAACCGAAACACAATAATATATAATTTAATAAGAAGGGTTATACTGACCTATTAAGATTTTGTTTACATCTACCTTATTTATTTTTTGCTATTTTATTAAAAAAGTTTTCACAGGTCAATAACAATTTTAACAATATTTTAAGTGTAATTTATGAGATTTGTAGTATTTTGAATCCAATCTTTCTTTGTAAAGTTAATCATACTGATTTCAAAGTTAAGAATTCATTAGTTTGAATACATAAATTGAACCAAACACTATCATAACATCTTAGTTGATAATTCAATATGTTTTATTTTTGACACAGCATCCCATGTTTGTGACTGCACATTTTGGTAGCAACCACATCACATTACAGAATTTGAACTCACATACTAAAACATATAAACTAAACATTTGCATAACTGTACTAAAATATTGCTTATTTCCCCAAAATAAAGGATTATGTGTTAACTTTTGTCATTACCAAAACGATGACATGTCTGGTCGTGACTGTTTTAGATACTTTTGGGCCCTTAGATACTTAAGATGCTAATCAGCACATGGTTAGCTAGCACAGTTCTGAACAGTTGAACACACATAAAAACTAATTGTTAAGGAATAACACCCAAAAAAGTGTGCTTAATTGCAGAAAAAAAATGTGTTAGGTTGTGACGTTCCTTAAAGTTACACACAGATTTTCAGACTTTTGAACACATTTACCTCAAAATGATGGGGCCTATCTACTCACCCTGTAGCTATGAGGGAGTGACACAAATATGTCCTGATCATAAATGTAGAGGTGTGTTTAAATTCAATCTCAGCCAATAGACTAAAACATACAGTTTCGGTAGTGACATGAAAATGTGGGACACATTTTTTTTACATAAAGTTTCATGATTTATAAAGAAAATATAAAATTAATATTTTTTTGAACTTCACTTTTAAAAAAAAAAGTCAAATAGAAATGAAATGCAAAAATGTTTTCAATATAATTTTCATAAGTTGAAATTTAGGGGTTAGGGTTCGGGACAGCCACCTCCCAATTGAAAGTACCCAATAAATTATGATTTTATATTAAGCTTACTAATATTTTAAATAATATTGTGGGTTTCAATAGATAATAGAAGGACCTTAGTAAAAATCTAAGATTTGAATAATTAAATGCTATTTAAATGTGTTTTTTGGTTGTGGGACACTAGTTTGCACCAATTCTGTAGAATGGCCCAGTAATGTGAGCGAGTGACGGCCAATGTGATTCACCGACATCATGACGACAGATGAGGTTATTAATATTTTTTTGAACTTCACTTTAAAAAAAAAAAGTCATAGAAATGAAATGCAAAAATGTTTTCAATATAATTTTCATAAGTTGAAATTTAGGGGTTAGGGTTCGGGACAGCCACCTCCCAATTGAAAGTACCCAATAAATTATGATTTTATATTAAGCTTACTAATATTTTAAATAATATTGTGGGTTTCAATAGATAATAGAAGGACCTTAGTAAAAATCTAAGATTTGAATAATTAAATGCTATTTAAATGTGTTTTTTGGTTGTGGGACACTAGTTTGCACCAATTCTGTAGAATGGCCCAGTAATGTGAGCGAGTGACGGCCAATGTGATTCACCGACATCATGACGACAGATGAGGTTCATCAAAATTACACTGTTATGATAGTTTCCCTTGGATTTTCTTCACATAAAAATTAATCTACAAGCTTCATCTCATTTTTAAGTTTGTTTACATGCTGTTCACACAAAATTCTTTCATAAAGCCCCTTTAAAAATTAAATTTTGTCCATTGAAACAAGTAGCTAACTTTAGCTAGCAAGCTAACATCACTTGTTAGCTAGCAAGCAACGTTCTAGAGCAGCACAGCTTTTTCTTCTGTCCTGTAATAACATTCAGTGAGCAATATCTGATAGTATAGTTTTAATACACACTTAAAAACAGCTTCTTTCATTTTTTTTTCTCCCAGTTGGAAGATGGAACCATGGATGAATTAAAGGGATAGTTCACCCAACAATTTTAATTCTGTCATTAATTGTTCAACCTCATGTCGTTTCACACCTGTAAGAACTTCGTTCCTCTTCCGAACACAAATGAAGATATGTTTGATGAAATCCAAGAGCTTTTTGTCCCTCCATAGGCAGCAACGCAACTTTCACATTCAAAGCCCAGAACGGTAGAAAAGACATTGTTAAAGTATTCCATGTGACTCCAGTGGTTTAACCTCAATTTTATGAAGTGACACGAGTGATTTGATTGCACAAAAAAAACCTCTTTACCTCTTTACTTTGAAAATATTGATCTGCATTGTGCGTTCACGAGAGCATCACAACGCATTTGTGTTGTATTCACGCGATAGAAGACTCGTGCATCAACACAACGCACATGAGTGAGTGTTCACGAGAGTACCACAACGCATGTGTTTGGATTATATTTTTGTGAATGAAGTGGTAAAGTATGTTTTGTTTTTTTTTTGCAAACAAACCACTTGCGTCACTTCATAAAATTGAGGTTAAACCACTGGAATCGCATGGAGAACTTTAAAGGAATAGTTCACCCAAAAATGAAAATTTTGTCATCATTTTCTCACCCTCGTGTCATTCCGAACTTGTATAATTTTCTTTCATTTGTTCAAGACAAAAGAAGATATTTTGAAGAATTTTGAAGAACTGAACAGTTGTTGGTCCCCATTGACATCCATAGTAGGGAAAGAAATATTATGGAAGTCAATGAGGACCATCAACTGTTTGATTACCAGCATTCTTGAAAATATCTTCTTTTATGTTCAACATAAGAAAGAAACTCATATAGGTTTGGAACGACATGAGGGTGAGTAAATGATGACAAAATTTTCATTTTTGGGTGAACTAACCCTTTAACTATCTTTCCTACAGTTCTGGACCTTGAATGTATAAGTTGCATGGCTGACTAGAGGGACAGAAAGCTCTCAGATTTCATGAAAAATATCTTCATTTGTGTTCCGAAGATGAACAAAGGTCTTACAGGAGTGGTAAGGGTGAGTAATTAACAACAGTATTGTCAACAACAGAATTTTTGGGTGAACTAACCCTTTAAGACTCTGCCTATGGATCCAACAGGATGTGATTCACTTGCATCAAGCCAAAAACTGTGATAGGCTATAGTTGGTAGTACTATTAACACAGGTGAAGAAAGATATTGTATTATCTGAGAATAAAATGACCTACTTGTTGAAGTATTTGAAGTATTTCAAATATAAAATACTGTCTCTCAAAGTATTTAATTACATTTTTTTTTGTCCAGCAAGATATGAATGACAAAATACTCAAAAGTGATTAAATACGTATTTGAAATACATTTGATTAAAACACTGCCCATCTCTGCATTGCCCCTGCTTTGGAAGTTTTTGTCTTAGTATTGATTTATGTTGTTTTCCAGTATAAATGTCTAAAAATTGTTAAATCAAGATACATTTACGGAAAAGCAAAATTTAGTAAGTCACATACTAAGTATTGTTTTCTGAAAAGGTTTTTGCCAATTGTGTATGAACTTAACTCAAGGGGAAACAAGTTTAATTTTCTTATCCCACTGGCAGATATTTTTTCAGATTTAATGCTTAAATAGTTCATTTTTATATATTTTTTCGTTTTTTGAAAGAACAAAGGAATAGTTCACGCAAAAATGAAAATTAAGTTTGAGTTTATATCATGAGAACAGAATTGGACAAATTCATCAAACGCCGTTTACAAGCAAAAACAGTCAAACTGTTCTAAACAAATGTCAGTGGATTTTGATGTGACAGGACAACAGAGGATAGACTTTTTCACTGGAGAAAGCAATATTATGGATAGATGACTCGTATTTTGGCCAGAAGCAACAGTTTAAAGTTAAAACGCATTAATGATGAATTTGTTTCTTACAAACACATAGCTTTTTGCTTCACAATTAGTTAATTGATGGACTGGAGTCATGTAGATTATTGTGATGTTTTTATCAGCTGTAAACTCCTTCTGACCCTATACACGTCTATGATACTGATGGCACCCATTCACTGTAGAGGATCCATCGGTGAACAAGTAATGTAATGCAAAATTTCTCCAAATCTGTTCCAATGAAGAAACAAACTCATCTACATCTTGGATATCCAGAAGTTGAGTAAATCGTCAGCACATTTTCATTTTTGGGTGAACTAATCCTTTAAAATCTAGTCATTTTGCTGAAGTAAATGTTTCATGATTTATGAATGTTTAGACACTTGTACCGGAAAACAAGATACTGAGCAAGAAATTCAGTTTGCAGTGCAAAAACCCGTCTGTGCTAACAGATCAGATAAAGTTGTTTATTGAGTTTAAGTTTTATTCTAACATGTGAAAACTCTTTAAATGTCTCCGATTCACATCAGACTCTCTCTGGTGAGGTTTGCTCATTCAGCACATGCATCCTATGGATAAATTTTGTGTTAACAGTCACTTGAATGCAGTCTTTGGTTTATGACTGATTTGACATCAGCCTCTGTTGGTTTAGTCCTCAGCAAATTTACGACCACTATTGTGAGGACGCCCCTTGCTGAAGAAGTCGGTTCGGAGGAGGCGGTAGAAGTAGATGAGAATCATGATGTTCATGAGCATCATGGTTATCAGGAAGTAGAGGGCATGATCCAACGATGAGTAGTGGTGTATTAGGTACCAGGTGAGGTAAAACTGTGCTCCAAGCCGGAAGGTCACGTAGGTCACCACATTGAACAGTTTGTTAACGGTGTAGATGAAAGAGTTGTGGGCCACCTTAGCCAGTTTGAGCAATAAACGTGTGTGTAGGAACACACTGTTCACCTCCACAAATAAAGCCACCACTGCACCTGCCACATACTGATGAGTGAACACAGCATACACGAAACACCAGATCACCTACAGGAAAACATAACAGAGATTTACAGTTAAAACAAAACATAAATAGATATCACCATACATCCTGATTTGATTGATTAAATTAAGAATGGATCCTTTTAACAGACTGTGAGGATGCAGTTATTAACATTGTAAATCTAGCAATTTCTACTTTGTGCTTTCTTAACTGGGCCTTAAATGACAGAAAACTGGTTAACACTGCTGTGTGAGTGTTTCTAATATACAGTGACAGCAAATTTAACAACTTTCTTCTGACCGACGTAATCTCACAATATTTTCTTCCTCTTTTGTAAAGTTATAGAAATGCTATTATGGTTTGTTTGTTTTTTCCTTTGGCTATTGGAGCAAATGGGAAAGCAAAAATGTTATTTCTTGTAGATTCTGTTCACCGCTATAAAAGTTCACCAATCTGTGATGACTTTCACTTCTGAGAACCCTGGAAATGTGATTACAAGTCTATTACAAACAAAAGTTTTTGTATTACATATATTCTGAAATGTTATATTTATCTAAATATGCACTAATTGGCATACATTTCCAGAACAGAAATCTAAACATTGGATCAGGATCAGAATTAGAAAGAGCTTTACTGCCAGGTATGTTTACACATATGAGGAATTTGTTTTGGTGACAGAAGCTTTCACAACACAAACAGAATGACAGTGGCAAGACAAGACACAGATAATAAAAAGAATAAAAATGGGATAAGTAAATAATACATACATACATCTTTTCCTTTTGAAAAATACACAATATACAAAGTAGACAGATGGTATTTGTATGTACAGGTGTGTTATGTACAAATGCAAGGGAATATAAAAAGAGGTATGCGTGTTAAATAAATAAATGTATAAATAGTGTTATTACATGTTTATTACCAAGTTAACTGTTCAGGAACTGTTCCGTCCTGATCAGTGAGTAGGTCTCCCACTACCCTGGTTTGCATTTGTGTAGCTCACAGCATAGAAATTTACATATGAAAGCTTCACTTAAGCAGAGGGGATGGGAAGCATTGAGTTTAACTGCCAAGCCAATTCCACATAAATTATCAGCAGTTCTCAACAATTATCTGTGCTGCCTGCACATTCCTGTGAATAGTCGTTAACCAGAAACTTCCCTGGCAATTTACAGTGCCGTTAACTAACGAAAATCACACTTTCCATGCAGTGTGAGGGAAGATTCTTATGCTTGGCATTCTGCTGCTCAGTGCTCTGTAGCACCGACCAGACGGCCACAGTTCAAAGAGGAATTGGGCTGGGTGTGAGGGGTCCAGAATGATTTTGCCAGCTCTTTCACTCACTCTGGATGAGTGCAGTTCTTGGAGAGTGGGCAGGGTTGTACCAGTGATTCGCTCAGCAGTCCGGACTATCCGCTGCAATCTTCTAAGGTCTGATTAGGTAGCTGAGCTGAACCAGACACATAGAAGTGCCAGAGAACAGATTCAATGACTGCAGAGTAGAACTATCAGCAGCTCCTGTGGCAGGTTGAATTTCCTCAGCTGGCGAAGGAAGTACAGCTTCTTCTGGGCCTTCTTGACAATTGAGTCTATGTGGAACTCCCACTTCAGGTCCTGAGAGATGGTGGTGCAGGAGGTTCAAAAAATCTTGAATCTTCAAAAGGCAGTTTCAAAAATCTTGTTTTATTTTGTTGACATCTTACAGTCAACTTTTTTTAATTTTTTTTTACAATTGATTTTGGATATCTGCTTTTATTTAAAATCTGAAAATACAGTCAAAAGCCAATAAATGAACGAACGAATTAATGTTTTTAGGAAGAAAAAAAAATTGAATTAGGCAAGTGATCTATGAACAAACCTCTGTGTAAAATCATTTAGAAGATAGATAGAAATAAAACTGTAAAGTTTGGTGCATGTAGGTGCTACTGAAGTGGAGATTTCTGGCTAATTGCACGAGGAGAAAAGGCTTTTCAAGATAAATATTGTAATTGAAATCTACAGACACAAATAGAAACAGTGCAATAAACTAAACACTTAAAAGTATATTTTGGATGTTTTTGTCTGTAGTGTCTTCCACCTCATTTGCTCTTGTAAATGTGTACATGTGTGAATCTGAATAAAACTTTCCAAGTGTTTTGAACTCAGCTTCTGTTGCTTATAGAGTGTGGAATGTCTTTCCTACAGGATTGGTTGTCATTATTGCACATTGTCTTATCCAACTAGAATTGCATGTTTTTTTTTTCAGTTACAAACAAGCAATTAAAAAAAAAAAAAAAGTATAAAGTACCAAAGGTAAATTTCCCTCAAGTATAAGTGGGAATGATGTGCAATCAATAATCAATGCAGTCCATACACCCCACTTCAGGATTACAGCTGAGCCCACTCTAATCTACCTGTTCAAAATTAATAACTTCATTGCTCAAGAACTTTGTCCTGAATCTCAGTTTCTCTTTGGGAACAACCCGTGAGATTTTCCAGGTCTGACTAATAGAGTTTTTATGGCTTCACCTAGCATTTTTGAAACATTTTTCATGGCCTCGTGTGATAACCTGTGTATTGACTTACCATAACATGGTGAAGTAAAAACTCCCAAGATGCTTTTGCGTAGCCACTAAAAATAATGTCACCAGCATCCTGAATGAAGTAGCCTGTTGAAGGAGATCAATGCTGAATTTATTGACCAGACAAAAACCTCTTGTGTTTAGTTACAAGAGGGATTTCATTTTATATCTGTCAATTTCCAGTCCCTGTATGTGGAACAGGTTCACCGTAGGGTCACTCAATCAGTGTTAAAGGTGTCATTGTTTGGTACAGTTTTTTATAGAGAAGATGAATTGCTGGGAATGAAACTTTTTATTGTTATGTACTACCATTGGGGTCAATTCCTTTTTTTTTCCCAGTAAGAAATTATTACTTTTATTCAGCAAAGATGCATTACATTGATCAAAAGTGACAGAAATTTGTAACATTATAAAAATCTTCACTATTTCAAATAAATACTGTCCTTTTGAACTTTCTATTCTTCAAATAATCCTGAAATGTATCACAGTTATTAAGAATTTGGCAGCACAACTGTTTTCAACATTAATAATAAGAAATGTTTCTCGAGCACTAAATCAGCATATTAGGGCATGTGCTTAGTAACTGGTACTAAACAACACAAAAGAAACACAAAAGTCCATCGCTGATCAAGATAAATAAATAAAAATAAAAAACACCCACAGTGGTGAAACTCTTGCTTGGTTTGAGGGATGATTCATGCTATGAAAATTTTTTTGTTTGTTTTTTTTTTTTAGTTAGTTGCACTCTCATTCTCTCATTCATGCCTGTCCAGCAGGTTTTTCCTGTTTCCAAACTAAGAGATCAGTAACTGAAAGTTAAGTGCTGTTCATGAACATTCAATAACTTTTGTTTATTCTTAGACATTGCTATTAGTGTATGTATGTATGTATGTATGTATGTATGTATGTATGTGAAAAAAATGTATGAAAAACAAAAACAACTCACCAGGTGACGGCCCAGATGCCAGTTAGCAGTGAGTGGACGAGTGACACTGAGAGGTTCCTCCATTTCCAAGTCCTCCAGGGGTCTGTGTCCACTGTCCCGGGACTGGGCACAGTCTGCAGGAACCTGTGAAGGATCCTGAAGGTTACAGAACAGCACAAGACATACAGGGCTGGATGCTTCTGGACTTCATTCAGCCATGAGTCCATCCTCCACACTCTTTATTCTGCGTCTCTCCTTTTCTCAGACAGTGAGTCCTTGTTATGTTGTTTCCTTGCTGATCTAAACTTTCAGTGCCCTTTCCAAAAGAATCCACATGAATTGCATTCAGATTCTTGAACCAGTCCCTGTCTTTTTTTCTGCTTGTAATTGACGACAGTCTTCCTTACACCCCTACAGACTCCGTCTACACCGTCTCGCTCTTTCCTCCACGTGCTGGTGCCTGTCATAGGTGTGGTATCTGTCACGGTACCTGTTTGCTGAACACTGATTGGCTGATGATGAATGGATCTGTGGGAGTGTTACAACAAGGAATGACAGCTGTATCTCTTTCCCTTGAACTTTTTGTGTCCATCTCCCTGTATTCAACAATCCAGCCAAACGTTCTGTACATGTAGTGATAGAGCCGTGTCAGCTGTGTGTGTGTGTGGGTGAGTGCGGAGCACAACAGAACAATAGAAGCCATTTAAACTCACCGTCATACTGCTGTCCCTAATAAATGAAATGGCTTGTGTCCTGCAGCTGGATCAAATGACTTCACTCATACTGGCACAGCAGAGGAATGGCTTACAGAAAACAGTTTGTTGTGTTTGGTCAGCTTTCAGTTGTGATATGGGCAGGGCTGGAAATGGGCCCCTTTGCAAAAATGAACCATGGTTTTATTATAGTACAAGTGCAGTAACCATGTTTTTTGGCATCTTGATGGCAACTATGGTTATTGTAGTAAAACCATGGTTAATTTGTGGTTACCATATATATATATATATATATATATATATATACACACACTGTGTGTATATATTGTGTGTGGGGTCTGACATCTGGACATGCCTAGTAGTTAACGTCATGATGGTACTGCGTTTCTGGTTCTGCAGTGCTACAAAACTATTAACTTCTTACCACAACAAGAATAGCAATGTATAGTGAGAGAATTGCAAGATTTACTAGTCATTACTTTTGTAAATGATTGCAACCACAATTGAGAAATATTTTTACATGAAAATTCAAATAGTTTTCTATTAATCTATTAGTCTGCATTTACATTGCTTAATGAACATCTATTTTGACAAATTATTTTTCAACATTTCGAAAACTGTTGTAATAAAATGAAGACATAAAACATTAACAATTTAAATGTTTTTCATGCCCTTAGCATGAAACGGATTATATTTAGCCTAGAAAGTGCACAAAAAGCACTTCCTTTATATTCAATAAAAAGGTGTCACTTCAGTTCATCGCGATCTCACAAAGTTCCTTCATAATCAATGAACCTCTCATTTACATAGTTTTACAGTGAAAGGATTTGGGAGCGATTCACATAATCCGGCGATTATTTGAACGGAATGGCCAATCAGAGGAGTTCACGAATCAACAGATCTGTCTGTGATTGGCTACATTGCTCAATGCTACAAAAACACATTGTAAATAGAAACTTTTGACGTTCTCCAGAGCGCAAACACGAATACACAAATACGATTTGGTTAGTGTTTACCAAATCTGTTTCGCCAATATCCTATTATGTGTATTTATCTTTAACTGTAGAAGCTGCTAAATATATTCAGCCAAGCTAACAGACTTGTTGTTGCTGTAGTTTCGTTACTCTGAATTTATTCTGAACCACTTAATGCACAGCTCTGTTTTTGCCATCGGCTCGTCAGATGTTTTGTTCCATCTGTTGCTTTATCATGGTCAATCATAGCAGATTCACTCGCTTAATTTTTTACACTCGCTTTTGTCGTTCCTGAAACTGTATACGTGGACGTTTGGTCCTCTTAGACAAACAAAACTTTTCTTCAAATTGTGAATGGATTATGTAGAGAAACCGAGCAAAGGGTGCTCCCCATATAGCACAGCTGATTTTGACAGTTGACCGGAAATGACTGAGCTGGCTTATCTAAAACCAGGAAGTAACCATGCATATAGACAACTGCACCCCTAATAGCACACGTACATCACGTCAAAAAGACATTTAAAAGATGTCTTTAAGATGTTTATGATTTAGAATGAATGTAAAACTGACATCTTAAAGGTGTCTATCAGATGTTTGTACACAGCAGATGCTACCTGGACATTATCTGGACATTACTTTGATTACATATAGTAAGAATAAACATTCAGGAAACTTATAATGCCTCAATAAAGCATGTTTTATTTTCTACACAAGCTTGGTATTTGTTCTTAGGAATGATGGAATTTAGAAATCAGACACACAACAATAATTTCCAAAAAATTTTATTTTTAATAAATTTTAAGTGCTTGTAATTATTGAATAATCATTCTTATTTTGCTCATATATATATATTTATTTAAAACTATATATATTATTTTTTTCTGTGTCATTTGTTATTATCTGTGCACCTGTTTTTAAACAATATTTTTTTATCTGCTCTATTTTTTTTATCTGTGCTCTATTTTATTTAAATCTGTTATCTATTTTTATCTGTGCTCTATTTTTTTAATCTGTGCTCTATATTTTTAACTGTGCACTTTTTTAATCTGTGCTCTATTTTTTTTTTATCTGCACCATTTGTTTTAATCTGTACTCTATTTTTTTAATCTGCAATTTTTTTATTTGCGCTTATTTTATCTGTGCTCTATTTTTTTAATCTGTGCAGTTTTTATTTGTGCTCTATTATTTTATCTGTGCTCTATTTTTTTTATCTGTGCTTTATTTTATTTAAATCTGTGCTTTATATTTTTAACTGAACTTTTTTAATCTATGCTCTACTTTTTTTTATCTGCACCATTTTTTATCTGTGCTCTATTTTTTAATCTGTGCATTTTTTTTTATTTGCGCTCTATTTTATCTGTGCTCTATTTTTTTTTTATCTGTGCTCTATATTTTAATCTGTGCATATTTTTTTTGTGCTCTATTTTATCTGTGCTCTATTTTTTATCTGTGATCCATTTTTTTTAAATCTATGCACCATTTTTTTTTATCTGTGCTCTATTTTTCTTTTTTTAATCTTTTAAAAATCTGAATCTGATAAAATCTAAAATGTTCTATTTTATTTTAATCTGCCATTTTTTCATTTTTTTGTCTGTTTTTTTGCCCTGTAACTTTAGTTTTCGCTGCAGCACAAGGTCGGCATTGAGGAACGCCAGGTGCTTCAGATGGCCGAAATGGGGCTTGATGCATCTCACCTTTATGACGTGATTAATGGCCTCCTCCACCATCATGTCATGGCAGATCATCAGATAAGCCAGAAACAGAGTCGCCGAGTGGCTGAGGCCCTGTGTGCAGTGAATCAACACCTTACCTGGAAAGAAAAACAGAATGACGGTCAAAAAACTCATTGCCAGACTGTAGGACACTTGATGAAAGATAAGAAATTGAGTGTGTGTGTGTGTGTTGTGTGTGTGTCAGCTCTTACTTGTTGGGTTCCTCAAAGCCTTATGGATAAATTTGGCTGCTGGCAAGAAGCACTTGCTGATGTTGGCCCAGTGTCTGAACGAAGGCAAGCCACAGTAAGTGATGTTCATGCCTCTGTAATATCTGGACCCTGTATTGACCGTTCCTAGTAGGTCTTTCTCGCTTGCCATTCCCAACAAGAACTTCAGGTCCTTCTTGGGCGCTGCAGCGTTTAGGATATGCGTAATTCCCATCTCCTTCAGTTTATCTCGGTCCCATGCAGTCTCTCTGCACAAAAACACAACAGCCTAGGTTGGTCTTTCGATTTACAATGAAATGACAGAGCTTTTAAATCAATAAGAGAAATATCATTGTCTTTGGTACTCCTGCAATACATTATTAATTCAACCCACCGTATTTATTAGTAGACTACTTACTCATTTCCAATGAAGACCCTGGGCCAGACCTCAGCGACAGGAGTCTTGGACAGTGTACATTCCCTCAAACGATCCTCCAGCTGGGACACGTTTAGACGGATGTAGTTTTCCAACCTTGAAAGCTCTGATGTCACTTCAGGTTCTGGCTCGGGAACACTTGGATCTGGTGCACACGATTCCTCTGGATCAACCAGATCCACTTCAGGTTTAGGGATACATGATTGCTCTGTATCGACCAGATCCATTTCAGGTTCTGGTTCGGGAGCGCTTGGATCTGGGACACACGATTCCTCTGGATCAAGAAGATCCACTTCAGGTTCTGGCTCAGGAATGCTGGGATCTGGGACACACGATTGCTCAATATCAACCAGATCAGTTTCAGTTTCTGGCTCGGGAGCACTTTGATCTGGGACACATGATTCCTCTGGATCAAGAAGATCCACTTCAGGTTCCCCAACAGCATTCAGTGCATTTGTCTGGAAGATTGCAGTCAAACGCTGGAAGACTGCACTTATTTTCTTGAACATCCACCCAGCAGTGCTTTCTGAAAAAAAGAAGAAAACAAACTAGATAAGTAAAGTTTGATAACGAACTTGACCAAACCCTTGTCTGACAGTTTAAAATAAAAGCTTGAAGTTGAAAGGTTTTACTCAGAGAATTCAGAGAAAATCAAAAAGTTACTTTAAATCCCATTAGACCTCATCTGACTGCTAAGAAACCACATGAAAAACCAATTAGACCTCTACAAACAACTATGAGTCCTGTTGCTAGCATGTAGTATCTAACCATTTTTAGCATATAGACAGATAGATAGAGTGGATAAACTATAAACAAGTCATTATGGAAATCTATCAGTGTTTGGGCCTGTTTAGAAGCTGGCTACCGGAATTTCGTAAGTCGAATCAGTTAGAAAAGATATAGCAACAAAATTCCGATCAGCCTGAAGGTCCCTGCCAAATTTGGTGGTCTTAACTTGAAAGCTCAAGGAGGTGTTACTCTTGGAAAATTAGGGTGTCAGAAGAAGTGGATAAATAATAGGAAAACAGTATTGCGTCTTTCTCAAGCCAACATAATAATACACTATCAGAAACATCTCTGACCACAAGAATAAACATGAATAAGACATATAAATGCATGTCTTCACCTGTCGGGCTGTTCTCCTGATCATTGGCCTCTGGTTCACTCAGATCTTCAGACACCAGCGCAGGGCTCTTCAGCTCGGAGACGCTGCCGTTCCTGTTCATCTCCAGCTGCAAATCTTTCACGTCACAGACTGAGATGTCCTCATTTTCATCAACTTCCAGTTGCACGTGCATCTCTCCTGGACTGCAGTAACCGACTGAGACGTGATCGTCCGTCACAACCTCCAGCTGCACATCTATCTCTTGAGATGAGCTGCAGCCGAGAAGGTCGTAGATGGCATCAGAGATCTCAAACTCCAGCTGCACATCTTTATCATCTGATGCCCAGTAACTTTCCCCGGAGTAGAAGGCGCCGTTGAGGTAAACCTCCAGAAGCACCTCTCTCACCTCTGTGGACATTGTGTCTGGTGTTCTGATACTGACAGATCAATAATCTGTATTTAACAATGTACAGTTTTCAAACTGACTGTTTGTGTCTATAACCTGTATCAAGAGACTCAATAGGGACTAGCGTCTGGCTAATAGTTGTAAAATTACCCTCAAACTCGCCTAAGCTCTTTGTCATTCTCAATTTATATACCGTGCTCTGTGACGTCATCGACACGTCACCATTCCACAGTTGCCATAGCAACGGAATGTCAGCTAACGGCAGCGAAGTTCAGCACAGCAGCTTGTAAATGTTCTCCGATTCGCTAATTCTCTCAGAAGTGATTAAAGAAATATTTCAAAAACACAAATAGCTTTGATCATATTACACGTACAGACTGGATTTCAATCGATGCACTGGTTTTGAACTCTTCATAGTAGTTTGCTGCGATGCGAACTCTCCGGCGCCACAATATTAAAAACAATCATTTTTACCCGATTATGAATGTCATTCTCCGGTTCGTGCGCGTGCCTCAAAAAAGGGATTACAATGACTTACAAAGATACATAACAACTACAAGTGTATGCACTACTTGCTTTATGCAAGCACTATATAGGATAAATCACCCTATTTTTCACCCTAATAGATTTACCCTATTATACTTTATCGACACAAATTGATAGGTGAAACAACAAACAGCCACCCACAAATAGTCTATAAACAAAGCATCAGGCTGTCTTTGAGTTCACATGAACAACGGTTAATGTTACTCTCTGTTACACCAAATAATGATCTTTAAAATAGCATCATATGACATTAAATAGTTATTTAAATCTTTTACTATTTCTATATTCAAAACTTTATATTTAAAGCATTAATCTAATCACATTGTTATTATAAATTTAAATGCATTTAAATATTGCCACATTTGTTTTCTTTTGTGCCACCTCCTGCAAAGATGAATTGTTGATGCTGATTTAATTTGACTGATTGTATCTTATTTTAACTGAATTTATTGTTGAATTACAAATTTGAAAAAAAGTTTATAAATATAATTTTTTTGAAAAAAGATGACAAACATTTAATAAAGTTAGAAAAAATGGCATTACAAAGGTAAAAAAAAGAAGAAAAAATACCCTTGCAAATCACTTTAAAGAGTTACAATATACAGTAACATGCAAATTCACACAGTGTATCTTTAATTTTATATTATAAAGGGTTTTATAAAATACATCCGAAAGGTCAACTAAAATGACCAGTATTACCCCCCCCCCCCCCCCCCACAACCCCCCTCC